ATCATGATTTAGAGATTTCGTTGAAACTCAATTTGTTATTTATATTTTATTTTATGTAACATTATTATTAAACACAAACTGTAATCCGTTTACACTTCTATTTTGAAAAGTTTTTTTATAAAACCAAAAATGTTTTGTTTCTCAAATATTTTTAATTTTATTTAGATATGTATGTTTATAACTTGTAACCGTAAAAGTTGATCAATCAAAACCCAAATAATAATGATTTTTTTTTAGTTTTATTTGTTTCAACAAAGAAAACTAAAAATAAATATATGCAAATTTAATCAAAGAAATTTGAATACTTTTTTTTAACATTTGAAATTTTAATCAAAGAAATTTAAATGTTTCTTGCAGATATATGGATCATTAATGCAAAAAAAAGCACAAGAACCACCACCAGCAACACATACACGATTTAGATGTAATATAGAAGCAAACCTACGCCTACCGCATGGTCCGCATGGAACTTGTGCTAAGAAAAATGGTCAAGAATTATGCAACCAAGCTTGCGTGAGAGTAGTCATCAACGGGCACCACCTCTATATGAAAGGCGTATGTTCACCTAAACGAAAAGTTTGCATGTGTCACGCCTGTCCGTGGACTTAATCTCATTGGCAAGTTGCATGAAAATTTGATGGAACATGAAACTTGTTATTATTCCATCAATATTAAATAATATGATATTTTAAATTCATATTTTCTTTTTTATGTAGTTTATTTGTTATTTTTAAAAATAACAAAAATACTTCATTCTCAATGAAAATAAAGAAAAATAAAAAAATCAAGTTCTGAAACAAAAAAAAATAACAACAATAAGATAAGAAGTTCAAAGAAACCAAAAAGAAAAATTAAACCTACACAACCATAAGACACAAATAAATATTTATTGAATAAATATTTAAAAGTATAACAAATTATCAAAAACAGAAAAAGATACAAAAACATAACTTAACGGCAGAACCTCAGACCATTCATAGTGAATCAGGTATAGTAAACAGTAATATAAGCAAGATTTTGGAGTATAAAATAAGGACGAGGACAAATAAAAAAAGACAGAATGACTTCTTTTCGCAGCTAGCTCAACACTTAAACACTTAGCAATTATTTGTTATTGTTCTTATAAAATCTCTTTTGAAAATAGAATTATTATACCAAGTTTACTCCATAAAAACCTTGTCTAAATCATTTCCAAATCCTATTTGATCTTCTCGAGTAAACTTTGCTTATATAAACAATATCTCTAAATCCTGTTTGATTTTCTCGACAAAATTAGTATTAATTTCAAACGTTCACTTAATATTCAACAAATTTCAAACACAAAAGAATTTTAGAATTAAACGTGCTTGAGTTGAAATAATTTAGGGAAGAGTGACCTACCGAGAAATCACTTGCAGTACCATGTGAGTAGTGCCAGCTCAAAGAAAATTTGGACTCTGTGTCAAAAAAACACGTACTCAAAATACATAGATTAAAATTTTGAGCATTTTTACAATAATTTAGAAATTCAAATCATTTTTTTTTAAATTGATTTTATGAGACCTAGTGCTTTTGCACTGTCAGCACATGTGTAAAGTTGGTAAATAAATCTTTCGAATCTCTTGAAATAATACACCAACTGTCGGAGTCTACAAACGGTGGCGATTAGGGCATAATAGGATATAAATAGGAGAGAAAGAGAATAATAACTTAAAGAAGAATACTCTAAAATATTCTTTAGACACAAACTGTAATCCGTTTGCACTTCTATTTTGAAAAGTTGTTTTCCAAAACCAAAAATGTTTTATTTCTCAAAGATTTTAAATTTTATTTAGATATGTATGTTTATAACTTGTAACCGTAAAAGTTGATCAATCAATTTCCAAATAATAATGAATTTTATTTTTTAGATTTATTTGTTTCAACAAAGATAACTAAAAATGAAAAATACACAATTTTAATCAAAGAAATTTGAATATATATTTTTTTGAAAGTTTGAAATTTTCATCAAAAAAATTTAAATGTTTCTTGCAGATATACATATCATTAATGCAAACTTAGATCTACCATATGGTCCGAAAGGAATTTGTGGTCAGGGTTTTGAAGGAGCCTGCAATAATCGTTGCAGGTTAATTCTCATCAACGGGCACCATCCTATGTGAAAGGTGTATGTTCACCTAACCGAAAAGTTTGCATGTGTCACTCATGTCTCTGGACTTAATTCGATGAAACATGAAGCTCGTAATTATTCCATCAATATTAAATAATATGATATTTTAAATTTATATATTTTTTTGTTAGTTATTTGTTATTTTTAAAAATAAAAAATAATTCATTCTCAATAAAAATAAAGAAGAAGAAAAACATCAAGTTCTGAGATGAAAAAAATAACAACAACTAAGGTAAGAAATTTCCAGCAACCGAAAAAGACAAATTAAATCAAGAAAACCATAAATACAAATGAATATTTATTATTTAATAGATATTCAAAAATATTATAAAATATCAAAAACAGAAAAAGATAAAAACCATAACGTAACGGCAGAATCTCAGAATTAAAAATCATTCATGGTGAATCAGATGTAGTAAACGGTAATATTAAGCAAGATCTTAGGATATAAAATAAGGACGAGGACAAGTAAAAAAAGACCGAATGAGTTTCTTCTCGCAGCTAGCTCATCAACATTTAAAACATTTAACAATTCTATGTTTTTGTTCTAATAAAATCTCTCCTGAAAATAAAAATAGTATATACCCAGTTTACTCCACAAAAACTTTGTCTAAATCATTTCCAAAACCTGCTTGATTTTCTCGAGTAACAAAACTTTGTTTATATAAACAATCTCTCTAAATCCTGTTTGGTCTTCTCGACAAAATTAGAATTAATTCCAATCGTCACTTAATATTCATCTACCATATGTATATTTATGAGGATTCACTGCCACCAAGTCAATATATGAGGATTGATTGTACGAATTAAATATAATGGATTAAGGTTTAAAAACATATACAGGTAAACGACACAAAACTATAGTTGAATCATACTTCACGTGATTTATTTTCATTTTCAATCCTTGACATAAAATAACAAAAATAATTTTCTTTCAAGAATTAAAAATAATTCAGAAATGATTTTTGTTAACATTCGAATATGAATGCAGAATTTCTTGATAATGGCTAAAAATCCAACCTCAAATTCAAAGATCTCATTTTCTGTTCTGCAATAAGATTATTAGCCCCGAAAAATCCTTGTTTGATCCACACTAGAACCAAACAAAAGAGAGAGACGAGGATGAGTATATGCTCGGGATGGGAGGTGTTTAGCTTCTTCTAGAGGTAGACATAGAGGTTACGTTAGCAGAATTCAAGGGAAAAAAGCTTAAAAAAACTCTCTAACTATTTAATATTTATCAGTTTCTTACCTGAACTTTTTGCGTTGCTAGAAAATTATATGAATTATTTTTTTTGATAAAAAAACTATATGAAATCTTTTATAATTCCAGTTTCCATCCTGCGATTTCACGGCGTTAACGGTCAAACATAATTAACAAACTCCGTTATTTTCGAAAACAAAAAAAAAGCTAAAAAAACCCTCAACTATTTAATCTTTGCCAAAACAATACCTGAACTTTTTATGATATCAGAAATCCACATTAGCTATTTTTTTTTAACGTTAACTGACACTTTATTTAAAAACCAAAATATCAAAGAGTTTACAATAACAAAAAAAGTTGTCACCAATAAAATTCGAAATAAATTTTGATATATATTTTTTTGAAATTACGATATATTTATGGCTAAAATTTTTGCAGATGAGTGCTTTATTTTTACTTTTGGACTGATTTAATCTCCACTGAAATGATCTTTGTAGATGATCAAAAAAATCTATCACACTTTATCTCAGTTAATCACCTGCTAATTTATATTTCTTATTTTATTGTGAGCCACTGAGATCACTGTTCCAAAGAATCGATTAGTTAGGAGCTTATATTCAAATCGCTTTTCGGATAGATGTGGTCTATGATGAGAAACTAACCAATACCAAATGAATAACCAACAGCGAATGAAGTTGGGGAGAACCATTAATGGATGTAAAGTAGTGAGGTAGAAGCTGAAACCGTATAATATTTCAAGTTTTTTTTTACACTGAAAAATTAGTTTGTGTGGGGTTTTTAGCAACATTAAAAATTTGCGTATTTTTCTAGCAAAGATTAAATAGTTGAGGGTTTTTTTATCTTTTTTTTTTTGGAAACTAACGGAGTTTACTAATTCCGTTTGATCGTTAACAACCGGTGAAATCGTGGGATGGAAATTGGAACTATAAAATATTTCAAGTATTTTTTTGATTTAAAAAATTAGTTCATGTAGATTTAATGCAAAAAGTTCGGATAGAGTTTACAAATATTAAATAGTTGAGGGTTTTTTTAAGCTTTTTCCCAATTCTAAATATCTTGAAGATATTGTATTTCATGGATTCTAAATATTTTGTCTATAAAATTATCTTTCGTAATTTTGACTTTTGTGTTTTGTTTGCTTTTTTTTTGCTCCTTATTTAATTTTAACTTTTAAACTGTATTGTAAAGGTTCAAAAGCTTCTGACCAAAAAAAGGTTCAAAAGCTTCTGACCAAAAAAAGGTTCAAAAGCTTTATATGCATGTGACTTGCCAATTAATTGTTCAAGACCTATTTCAAGGTCTTTGAGTAACCATGTATCATAATTTGGTGAATTATTAGAAGATATTGCTCGGCACGACTTCAATGAACCAGATTAAACTGCAATAGTCCTACCTGGTATTTTCCGCCTAATCAATAATCCAGCGAGTTAGTTATCGATGTTGGATGTTAACCATAGAGCCAAAAGATTTCAAGACAACCACTAATAAGAGGACACGTACGTAAAAACGCCAATTAATCGAATCACTAACTAATCACGTGAAGAAACACGGATAAACTGAGTGCACCGTAACGTACACAATTAAAAAGCAAATATAAATTAAATAATTTAAATTAATTTTCAATTTAGTTCACTCCCAAAGATAGATCTATCCGAGAGAGACACAAATTCACTCTTTTTGACTTACTTTTTTATATTATTTTTTTCCAGTGAAAAGCTGAATTTGTCTTTTCCTATTTCTCCGGAGTCAATTTACGGCGGCTCCGTCGTGAATTACGGTCAACGATGTCATTGACCGTGCCGGATTTCGATTTCAGAGTACGTCTCTTCTCTTTCTCTCTCTCTCGTTGCCTGAAAACAGCTTCGTGAATTCCCGATTCCCTCTCTCTCTGAAGCTAATTGTGTGTTTGCTTCTTCTGCAGTTGACGCCTCAGTTTGGATTTTCATCGATCGGGTGAGTTTTCTCGTCATTTCTAGGGTTTCGTTTCCTCTTCTTCTGCTTCGATTTAGAGATTCATTTGTGATGGAGAGATTTGACTCTGTTTATCGATCAGGGAGCATAGTTTTGCCGATGTCGATAATCTGGAGCATTGTATTAAGTACTTAAATCAGAGCTTAGTCACTTATGGATTCTCCGCTTCGCTCGACCTCTTCGCTGGCGATCCTGTGCGGTTTTTCTCTTTGATAATCTCTCTAATGGCTTTTTTTTTTTAATCTGTTCCGTTTTTTTTTCTTTCTCTCAATTCTTTGTCATGAATCTGATCCGATTAGCTTGTTATTAGGTTTCGATCGCTAGAACTTGCAATTGCATATACGCTTTGCTTCAGCAGAGGCAGCGAGATGTGGAATTCAGAGAATCTGCTAATGATCAGAGACAACGGTGAATCTTCGATTTTTCTTTGTGCGTGTGCGTTAAGCTGATCAAGTAGCTTCTTTATCTTGGTGGTGTTCTTCAGTCTTAATGCTTCTATCACAAGTCAAATCTATTGCTCTGTGATCTAGAATCTAGGTCATGCTGTGTTTATCCAAGAATTTTGGTTCTCTGTGTGTTTTTAGATTATAGTGCTATCCTTTTAGGGGCAAAAGAGAGAATTTTTTTTGCTGACATAGAGTTACAGAAACTGCTAATTTTTTGTTGTCATCTAGAAAGTTATTGATGTTTGCTTGAGTGCATTTTTTTTTTTTTTTGGGGTTTACCAAGTTCTTGTTTACTTCAGAGTTATATCCGACCTGTCGAGACTTGAGGCAAAAGTTGAAAGGCTTGAGACTCAATTACAAGCCAAGGAGAGGGAGCTTGGTTCTGTCACAAGAACGGAAGCCAAAAACACAGCAGCTTTAAAGGCTCAGAATGAGAAGCTTCAGAAAGAGAGAGATGAGTTTCAGCGGATGGTGATTGCTAACCAGGTTTGAACAATAGCTTTTACAAGTTGGATTTCAGTTAATGATTAGGCCAATGCAATGCTCTTTGAACCAATTGTTTTTTATTTTTGTATAAAAGCAAGTCAAGACCCAACAGTTACATGAAACAAAGAAAAAAGAAAAAGAGTACATAAAGCTACAGGTATGCATGGGTTCACACTCTTAAGTTTCGAGTGTATGTAATATAAGCAGAAGTAAACTGAACATGGAAAGTATTGGTCTCGTTTCAGGAGAGGTTAAACCAAGTGTTGATGGAGAAAAAGAAGGAAACAAGATCAGGCATGGAGATTATGAGTCTACTCCAGGTACTACATGAGTTGTTGAAATGACTATTAGTATTATCAAGTTTTCCGAGAGTAGACGCTTTTGTCTAATGAGCGTTTTCTTGTATATATATATACGCGCAGAAAGAAGGGAGGCAGCGTGGAACATGGAGCGGGAAGAAAACTGATTCTGATTTCTACAAAAAGATTGTAACCACAATGACAAGATTGTAGCTTCTCATGCTTTATATTGGATGAAAATGTATACTTATAAAATTGAGGCAATATGATCTTCTCAGGTGGATGCATATGAGGCGAAAAATCAAGAACTGATGGCAGAGAACACTGATCTGAGAGCGTTACTACGATCCACGCAGGTTATTTTTCTATTTCTTTTTTTTTTGCCTTCACATCCAAAAAAACATAATCTTCGTTTATTGAAGACTATGATCGTTTTGACAGGGAGACATGCGTTCTTTCTTGAATGCTAATGGAAGACAGATCTTAGATCCTTCTCAGTCTCCTCTGGGTGGGAAGACGGTACAAAGTTTTATTATAAGCTGATCAAGATTCAATTTCTTCCCATTACATATATAAACCAAAACACCGGTATAAAAAAGAGACAATATCGGTTATTGACAGGACGTTTTCGACCTGCCTTTTCGTATGGCTAGAGGTCAAATAGAAGATAGTTTACGCTCTAAGATGGTTTCCATCAAGGTAAAAAGTTGTATTCCCGAACTTTGGAGCTATTTTATAGCGTCGTATTATGTACCCACATGTTCCCTTTTATCGGCTTAATGAAGGAACGTATGGGTCAGTTAGTAGATGCACAAAATGAAGTAGCCATTACTTCAGAAGCATCAGAGAGGGAACTTGAACTTGAAGCACAACTAGTCGAGGCACGCAGCATTATTCAAGAACAGGTATTTACTTAAAATGATTTTCCTAAATTCAGCCAGATTCATTACAAATTTACAACTTTTTTACGCTTTTTTTTTTTGTTCTTAGGAATCAATAATGTCAAAACATTTAACTAAGACAGACCGGAGAAGGAACTCAGCTCCTCCACAGTCTATGAATGGACTTCGTGGCTGACTTAAATACTGTGAATCGCAGGTGCAAAATTTATCAAATATCTTAACAAGGAAAATGCCACATATCTTTCCTAATCAATTTACAGGAGGAATGTAACAGAAGAGTTTATATGAATTTCTAATGAATGTGGATTCGTATTTGTAACTTTGTATAGATGAGTATCTCGGGTTTTTTTTTTTTTTTTTTTTTTCGTGTGATCATAAATGCAAGCCATTTTTACTTGAGACTTTCATCGGATTATGGATCGCCTGGGGTTTAGCGGGCTTCTACTCGACTTATAATCCCAGTACATCCGTTGGTAGAGGTTTCTGTTGTCTCTGTGTGGTCTTGAGAAGTGAAGAAACCAGGTTTCTTTGGCCGCGGAATCATCAGGTTTCTTTGGGAAATATTTAGAGCTATTATTAATAGGCAGTACATTTGGAATGTTAAGACATCTCCCAAAATCAAAAAATTTCTTGGAAGGCAGCGAGTGGATCTCTCAGTTGGTGAAAACTTGGCTAAACGAGGTATCTTTGCTGAAAGATGCAAATGCTGTGATGCAACAAAGGATGAGGTTCATGTCTCCTCAAATGCCCTTTCGCCGCTCAAGTGTGGGAGACTGTGCTGGTGGACCATAAACCATGCAATACCCTTATCAACAATGCGAAGCAGAATTCTTCCAGCCTCATCAAAGATGACCAACTTGCCATCGCTGTATCTCTCCCTTGCTCCTCTGTTTTCACGGATTTTATGGAACTTATGGAGATCGAGGAATGGCTTGATTTTTGAAGATCGTCATCTCTCAAAAAATTCTTTATCTCGAAGCCGATTCGGGAAGCTAAAGAATGGCATTTGGCTCAGCTAAGTCTTCCCCCAACCAGTGCCCTTTCTCCACCTCAACATCTTGATAACTCCCCATCTTGTTGCTCTATCTTGTCTTGTAAGGTGGAAGCCGCATGGAGTGAGTCAACAGAGAAGTGTGGAATAGGAGGTGTCTTCCTTGGCCCAGGAAGCGAAAACCTGGTGCTAATCTGAAAGTCAAGAGCAGGATCGGGCTAAAGCTGGTAAAACCCTTGCTTCAGAGCACCAGAAAATATATACAAGTTAAAGGCAGCAAATTTCAGAGTTTGTAGTGTATTACAGTGGTTTGAGTAAGTAATTATAAATTCTGAGGCGCGGGTTCAATTCTTAAAGCTGCAGGTTGTGATTTTTTTTTATAATTATGGGCTAAAAAATTTTGTTGTGCTTTAGGCAGCAAAATCTCACTGGCCGGCCCTGGTCAAAAGTTTGTGTCATCTGCTATTATGGTGGAAGCTCTTGCGCTTAGAAAAGCTCTCACTGGCTGGCCCTGGTCAAAAGTTTGTGTCATCTGCTATTATGGTGGAAGTTCTTGCGCTTAGAAAAGCTATCTTCTATGCAGAAGATTTGCAAATCTGAGCACTTGTGGTGCTTTTTAATTGTCAGGTTCTAGTCAATCTTCTCAGAATCAAAGGCACCTCTACTGAATTAAAAGAAGTTCTACATAACATCTGGTGTTTTTATAACTCATATGATTCTATTTCTTTTGAATATACTCCGAGAAGGAGAAATGTTATTGCTGACTCTTTAACTAAGGTTGCCCTTGTATTGGCAAACTTTGTCTCCACTTTTGGAGGTTAATCTGTTATATGAAATCAATGTTTGAACACAAAAAAGAGCTATTATTTATCCTAAAAATTTTCATATTACAGTATAACTTTTATAACCTTTATAAAATAAAATTCGATAAACTAATACCTCAATAAATTAATATATTTCTTAAGTCTCAAATTAGTTTTTCGAACTGATTTTTATATTGATAAATTAATAATTCTATAAATTAATAAAATATTGCAGTCCCAACATTATCAATTTATAGAGGTTTAACTGTATATTTGTGAAAATTTAGAGAAATTTAGAAATTAAAATTATCCAAAAATAGAAAACAATGGGAGAAATATGTAGTCCATGGAATTTTCAATGCTAACTGATTTATATGCATTTTAATGGACTATATTTTATTTTCTTTTTCTATTTTAAGAAAATAAACTTTATATACAAGAACTAGATGACACAATATGTACTTAAAACATTCCATAAAAAAAAATAAAGAAAAAAGTGCAAGTAAAATAAAAATGTAAATGGCTAAAAGTGTTAATGCCATTGTTTTCATCACTCATTTGGTGATTTTCATAATTTTGACAGGTAATAGTTAATACATTATGATTTAGAGATTTTGTGGAAACTCAATTTGTTATGTGTGTTTAAGCATTAGTAAATACACACAGTAATCCGTTTGCAATTCTATTTTGACATTTTAAAATAAAATCAAAATGTTCCTCTTTCAAATATTTTAAATTTTATGTAGATATGTATGTTTATAAGGTGTTTATAACTGTAAAAGTTGATCAATCAAACCCAAATAATAGTGAATTTTATTTTTTATTTTTATTTGTTTCGACAAAGATAATTAAAAATGAGAATATGCAATTTTAATCAAAATTCTTTTGAATGTTTCTTGCAGATGTATGGATCATTAATGCAAAAAAGACAACAGAACCACCACCACCAGCAGCAGATACACGATTTCATTGTAATATAAAAGCAAACCAACGCCTACCGCATGGTCCGCATGGAACTTGTGCTAAGCAAAATGGTCAAGAATTATGCAACCAAACTTTTCGGAGTGTAATCCATAAGGGTCATCTCAGCTATTCGAAAGGCGTATGTTCACCCAACCGGAAAGTTTGCATGTGTCACGCATGTCTCTGAACTTAGGCCCTGTTCGTTTCTGTATCTGGATGCTGCATCTAGCTGCAAATATCCAAATGTTGTTCGTTTTTTCAAAAAAAAAATTGTGTTCAGATGCAGCATCTGGATGCAAATTGATTAGCATCTCAAAAATCTGGATATTATAGATGCTGAGAAATAGAAAGTTCAGATGCAGCGTTTGCATCTGGTTCATGTAAAAAAACGAAAAATCTTGATTTCCCACCAAAACGTTACTTTTTGGTTTTTCGCCAAAAACAAAAACTCTCCGTTTCCCGCCAAAGACGAAAAATCTCGGTTTCTCGTCAAAAAAGCAAAATCTCGATTTCTCGCTAAAAACGAAAACTCTCGGTTTCTTGTCAAAAACGCAAAATCTCGATTTTTCGCCAAAAACAAAAAATCACGATTTTCCGCCAAAAACAAAAAATGTCTGTTTCTCGCCAAAAACGCAAAATTTCGATTTCTCGCAAAAAAAGAAAAATCTCGGTTTCTCGACGAAAACGCAAAAATCTCGATTTTTCGCCAAAAGAGCAAAATTTCGATTTTCTGCCAAAAACAAAAAATCTACGTTTTTCACCAAAAAACTAGGTTTTTCGCCAATAAACAAAATCTCGATTTTCCGCTAAAAGCAAAAATTCTCGGTTTCTCGCCAAAAACGCAAAATCTTGGTTTCTCGTCAAAAACGCAAAATCTCGATTTCTCGCCAAAAACGAAAAATCTCGATTTTCCGCCAAAACGAAAAACTCTCGCTTTCCCGCGAAAATGCAAATCTCGATTTTCCGCCAAAAACACAAAATCTCGATTTCCTATCAAAAATAAAAAATCTAGGTTTCTCGCCAAAAATACAAAATCTTGATTTCTCGCCAAAAACGAAAACTCTCGGTTTCTCACCAAAAACGAAAAATCTTAATTTTCCGCCAAAAACAAAAAACTCTCGCTTTTCTGTCGAAAACGCAAAATCTCGATTTCTCGCCAAAAACGCAAAATCTCGATTTCTCGCTAAAAAATAAATAATTTCGGTTTCTCGCCGAAACAAAAAATTTCGATTTCTCGCCAAAAACGTACCATTAAAAACGAAAACTCTTGGTTTCTCGCCGAAAACGTAAAATCTCGATTTCTTGCCAAAAACACAATATCTTTATTTTCCGTCAAAACTCAAAATTCCAGTAAAAAAATTTCCCGTCAAGTATAAAAAATCATGTTTCCCACAAAAAATGCAAAAAAAAATTTTCATGTATTTTTAAAACTTAATTTGGTAAAAATATTATTTATAAAAAAATAATAATTTTTTTTAGTCATTTTATGTATTTTGCATCTAACTATTTTTCTAAATTCACAAACGAACAATTTAGTATCTAGACGTAACATCTTGATACAAAACCTAGTTTCAAAAACAAACAATCTCTAGATATTATATCTAGATGCTGATCTAAATGCAAAATCTAGATGCAGCATCTAGATAAAAAAAACGAACAGGGCCTAAGGCGTTGAGTTGCCACCGGTTAATAATCCTCAGCTGGTTGGAGCTGGACCATTCTCCTGAGAATCACCGAACCACGGTGAGATTAAAAGTTCATCTAATTAAAATCAAGTACCCAAATTAAGCACTCTAAGCTTCAAGCAACAACAAAAAAACACACACACACATCCAAACGTTAAGTTGTGTCACAAGAAACCTCAGTTTTATGTCATAAAAGCAGTCTGTTTTCTTTTCAATTCAAACAAAAAAGATGTAGAGATTTTCCTGGTTTTCAAACCACACTTCATAAGAAGCAGAGTGAAGAAGTAATTAAGAAACAAAAAAACGTACCTTGTTATAAATGAAATTGTTTCATGCACTTGCAGATAGTATGTAAGGGGATGCAAATTTAGGTATGTCTATAGTTTAATCGATTTGGGGATTTTTCTGGGTTTAAATGATATTTAAATCAGTTTTGTTTCTAGGTGTAAGAGGTATGATTTACGGTTTACGTTAGAAATTGTTTGAAACCAACAGTAAAAAATCGATAATCGTGGGGAAATAAATCTCGAACTTTGATTTTATGGGGAAATAGAATTCAAATTTTTATTTGATGGAATGAAGCTCAAGCTTCATGGAGATCTGTTATTATATAAAAAATTTCCAGTGGAAAATAGAGTATTTTAATATATTTAATAAAATATAGTGATAAATCATCACCGATTTAATCTAGAATTGAGGATACTTGTTTATACAGAACAAAAGATTAGGTGAGTATACTTGACCTCGCCAAGTGAATTTGAGACCGGAAGATGTATAGATTCATAGAGACCGGTGTGTATATTCATATGATGTGCTAGGTTCATATGATATTCACTTCTGAGTTCTCTGGAGTAATTTGTTATATTTGGTGTTCAATTTATTTCATATGATAGAGCTTAAAAATTATATTTCTTCATTTTATTAATAGCGAATTTTAAGGTTTGTTAGATTTTATTAAATATT